GGGGTTCAGCCTTCTCTAGGTACTACAATGGATGGTTCATAAATATCGCGATTGGAAGCTCAAGGTTACCTAAGGCGATCAGCTCATCCACTCAACTGAGTTCTTCCATGGTTTGTGCCAATATCACGGTCATGGGGGCGAATTAGGGTTTCTGGACCCTATCCTATCAGTCTGGGAAACAACACAATGAAATCACAGCTAGCATGGGTGAGAGGAAAAAACAGCAACAATTGCTGATCAATGCTACAAAGCACAACTTGAGAACAATCAATCGATTATATTATTCATCGATTGATGAAACCAATAAAAGGGCACTAGAAACGTTTAAACAGATCAACATAAATATGTATATGCGTGGGCATGATAGATGTCATTCCATAACACTATATACAGTATATGCATCATGAAACGTTTAATGTTTGTGTTTCAGATTATTATTTATCGTGGCATCATCATCTGAAATCGTCATAAATTACATTAACTATTAATTATTTCAAACAATTTTTTAATAGAAATGGTCAAATATCGAATTTCAATCGAATGACAGGTCCAACTGGTAGAATTTTTTGTTACACATGGTGTTCTATTATTTGTTGGCAATTCAGAACTCGAGAAATTCTATCACCTAATTCAATTAATATTAGCATATCGAACTAGAGCAGATCTACATGCATGATTTTTCTGTTTTGTTATGTCGGGAAAGAAGTATCATATGTGTTAATGCTTACAATCAATATAATTTCTAGCCTTGACTATAAGACAACTGAATAATGTCGAATTCCATTGCATAAAAACAACGAATAATTAACATATGAACGAGATAAAATTATGAAAATGATGGACCATACTGCTCGTTTGTGTTGCATCATTCAGTCAATATCAGTTACCTTAGATGTTACATTATCATTTACAAAAAAAGTGATCTTGATGTTAACGTTGATTTCGATTACAATGAAAATGAACCTAACGATATGAAATGGGTACTACGCGTATTCTTAATCAATTAAATTCAATGTATTTTTCAAAAACATCAATTTCAGAACTAAATAAATGTCATGCTATTCATTTTGAAATCGATACATGCGGGTGTGGATGTCCGTTTCATTCAAACTAGGCGTAGCCTAACACACTCCGACACCAGCATTTACACCCTGGTAAATGAAAATTTGATAACAAGGTCTGGAACAAACAAAAATCATGTTTTCGATTGAAAATAGTACTAAAAATATTGTTTTGCATCATGAATGCAAAGCGTCTTATGGTTTGCCTATAATATTGATGCAACAAGCACTGAATCATACTTGTAGAGATATCAAAGAATAGATAGAATAATCAACATAAATTATCAAGCGAAAGAGTAAGAAAAGGATGTACATTAATAAGCAACACCGAAATAACAAGAATAATAAGGACTTAAAAAAATAAAAAGAGCAAAGAGAAAGAATAAAAAGAAGCACAAAAGATTATATTTACTTTTTTTTAAGTGATATAATTTTACTTGAATAAAACAAATTTCCCTGTAAGAGAAACGATTCATATCGATCTATTGATTGTTTCACAAGTGAAGATGTTATTGTAGAAGTGCGAAGACTCTGAATCGATCTTATGTAAATTGTTTCTCATTTTCTTTCAATTTACTTTTTTAACAGAAACCTGTGAGAAGTTTTCTTAGGGATTTTTGGAATGAACAAATACTTACGTTTAAAGATTTTGACAGTGTTTTTTCATCCGTGATAATTATCTTCAATATTTTCATTTTCAGCATGATTTATTTATTTTGTTACGTTTGGTTCTATGCACTTATATAAAAATTCATAGCATATAACAATGCAATACTTGCTATTACTGCTCATAATTAAACTGTTGGCTGTAAAATACACCGATGCAACCTGGCCACCTTCAAAAATATCAAATATACAACTATTGGGTTTGTTCCAAGATACATCCAATGAATTTGAATCAAACACAATATCTATTCATTCTCAGGCTATGTTCAAAGCAGCAATATTACTCTCACAACAATTCAATCTGACGATTGAAGGTCAACTAATAGGATGGCAGAGTGCAATAACTGATGGTGATGTGATCAATACTCTTAGTAGTGCATGTCGTGCAATCACAAATTCAAATATTTTCGGTATTATCGGCCCAGCACTTTCACGAGAAGCTCATGTCATTGCTAATTTTGCCAAAAAAATTGGTATTCCAGTAATATCCTACGCAGCAACTGACCCGGATTTATCTGATCGTATTGTTTATCCAGCATTTTATCGTACAGTTCCTTCAGACTATACCGCTGCTTTATTGATGACAAAGCTATTCATACGTTTTAATTGGACTTCCTGTATCATCATCTATCAAAATGATGCATTTGGATCTGGTGGTGTAAAAGCGATCACTGAAGTATTTTATAATGCTGGTTTGATGATTACAAAAATCATACTATTCGATATCATGACACATCATACTCGAGATGATTTAAGAAATGAATTGATTAGTAGTACAACACGACTTATTATACTATGGAGTGAGGCCATTTATACATCTCTCATTTTACAATATGCAATTGATCATGATGTAGTTGGTCCAAAATTTACATGGATACTGCGACATAATGTTCGATTGAATTCATTCAATAGAAATTCTTATGAAAAGTTAATTGGAATATTGACTATAGATCCTACTATTGGAGGTGTTGTCAATAGACCCATTAACTCAACCTTATTAGATGCAGCATACAATATCTGGAAACAATACGAGCCTGAATCATTTCCTGGACCGAAACAAGTGGATTATCATGCATTGTATGCATTTGACGCAACTTGGTCATTGATTCAATCTTTGAATCAATTTTGTTTCTTAATAACTAATTGTTCTGTCTCGTATGTATCAATTCTTAACTCTTCATTCTGTTTCGATCATCGTTTTCTTCATGCAAATGGGTTATCCGAGACAATTATGAATATCAAATTTTTGGGTGTATCTGGGCCTATAGAATTTAGTGTAAATCTAACTGATCGAATTAATGGTGATTATTACATAGTACAAAATATTCAATCATTTGCAAATCATATTGATTATGTTCCCGTATTAGAATGGGCTGATTCAAATGACTGGAAATTGTCTTCACAGAAAGCTAACATTGTATGGCCTGGAAACACATTTATACCTCCTACTGGTCACGCATCTCTAGCTGGTGTCAAATTACGAATAGGTATTATTGAATCGCCACCTTTTACAATGACCAAAACAGTTATAGATGAGTTCGGAAAAAGTAGCACAAAAATAATTGGTTTCGTTCCTGATTTAATAGATCTGCTACAAAAAAATATGGAATTCATTCCTCAACTTCTATTAGCATCTTCAAATCAAACTTATTCCAGATTGATCAATGCATTAGAAAATGGTGATTACGATATTTTGATTGGTGATATTACTATTACAGCTACACGACGAGAATTAGTCAGCTTTTCAAGTTCAATATTTGATAGTTCATTACGTATCATTATGCGAAAAAATACTGCTGACAGTGTAGATTTTCTCTCGTATTTAAAACCTTTCTCATTTGGTCTCTGGATTTTACTTTTTATTGCCAGTGTCTATGCTGCCATTTTGATCTGTCTATTAGAGCGACATGAAAATGAAGCATTGCAAGCAAAATCAATTATTTCTTCAGTTGCTATGAGTTTGTGGTATTCTGTCGGTACTATTATGGGATATGGTGCTGATTTTCATGCTAGAACTGCTGCTGGACGATTAGTAACGCTTGGTCTTTATTTTTTAAGTCTAGTATTAGTAGCAACATACACTGCAAATTTAACATCGAATCTAACCATATCAATGTCAAAATCTATAATTTCAGGTATTGATGATATAAAAATTGGTAAAATACCATTTCATCGTATTGGTATTCATGTTGGTACGACAGAAGAAGAATACTATTTAAGAGAAATTTCAGGTGGAAGTCGAAATTACTATCCTATTAAATCTTATGAAGAAATCTATCACAGTCTACTGAACGGTACTGTTGATGCGAGTTTCATAGACACTGGCGCTGGGGAATATATGACAAGCACTATCTATTGTAATTTAGCTTTAGTTGGTGCAGATTTCGACAAGAGTGCATTCGGTATTGTACTTCCTAAACGATGGATCTATGGACAAGAGCTGGATGTAACGATATTATCATTACGAGAATCAGGTGTTTTGCATGATTTGAAAAGAAAATGGTTTCAAACAAAATTTTGTTCTGAGCCATCTGCCACATCGACAAGAGCCGCAATCGAAACAGTGTGTGGTTTATTTATTACATTTGCAATTATTACTGTTCTATCATTACTCTTATTCATATGGAGGCAACGCTTTAGTATACGAGATTACATATTGAAACGAGTTTTTGGAAATATTTCGTTGGCTACTCAAGACATCTCATCGATAGAACATTCGAACAAACTCTCAGAATGTTCTGAAAATTCTAATCAAACTTTTCCCTCTGAGGCATGTTCTTCAGCATAATAAAATTTCGATTCAATTAATGAACTTCATTTTTGCATGTATCGTCTTCACTGATGTGTGGGTGTGAGTCGGCAGTGCCCAGGAACTGAGAAATGGGAATTCCTAAGGGAAACGAGAGCTAATCATCAGTCTCCTCATAGTTCCCAATTCATGAAAGTCAAAATAATTCTTTCGTTGAAATACTTTTTGTAGCACGAGTGTGGGCATTGTTGGTAGGAGCACTTGCATACATTTATCAAGGCGTCGAATAATTCAGTTTTGTATTTATTTTATTTGGCACATATATCTAATGATACTCCCTTTACACGACCCAGCGGCGAAAATAAAAAGTTTAAAGTAGTATACCGAACTGGTCTTTTCTTCTCCAAGAGGTAGGCTATCAAGATCTATCTCGCGCCTCTTCAGAAGAATGTTTTTTCCTTTTATTTCATTCGATAAGTACAACACTTGATGTATAAATGGCAATGGTTATTCATTGATACGAGCCCTAAGATATAATCTATGAATATATATATATGTTGCGATTATTAGATTTTTGCTCTCCTGAAAGTCAAAAGAAATAATGCGTCTGATCATTGAATCAATATTGGTTGCACAAGTGTTTCTCAGCATTACTGTACAGGTTAACAGCTTTTTACTCGTTTCAAAACGGCAGGTGGAAGTTGAAGAAAATAAGAAATATTCAAAAATCAATGCTGAAATACAAGAAAACTATGTTGCACGTTCAAAAGCCGAAAATAGTGTCATTAATCATCTCAACGAAGAAGAGCAACAAATTTCAATTGAGATTCTTAAATGGTTTGAAATGATTGAAGCTTCTTCATGTCTAAAAGCTAACTCGACACAAAATAGTATGAGCGATAATGACTACCAAAAATATGTTGTAGATGGATATTCCAAGATGCAATCTCAATATGAACAACATATGAAAAAACTAGATGAAACTCAACAAATAACTTTGAAAAAGGCAATTGATACATTCAAAAGATCAGGATTATTATGGTGTAAAATACAACTGATGGTGGAACCGACAAAGAATTGAATAATAATCGGACTTTTATAAGGAAAATATCTGTAGATAGATAGAGGAATTCCGATTTTCGACTCGTGTTATGTGCGATTGATACGAGATAGTTATTTTCAAATAAAAACTGGTGTTGTAACATGCAATGAGAAAATGTTAGTTCGAAAGTATTTCTGGGTTTGGGTGTGGGAATCAGTAGTCTATCTACTGTGTGGGCCGGTTGGGTCTCGTATATCTGAAATTCGCAACTATCCAGCCGAAAAATAAACTGAGATAAAGCACTGGTACGGCTACCTGACAAGCAGAAAACACAAGGTTTGATTTCTTGTGAAAATGAGTTATCTTTTTCTCCATTCGATTGTCATTCTATCACAATGCTGCGCTTCAGTTATAATAAAAACGGCCAAAAATAACTCATTTCGTTGATACTATTTGTGAATTGTTCTACTGATGTTCAGCTCTGTTCCACATAATTAAACGAGTACATAAAACTCAGCTGCTCGCTTACATTTTAATTACTTGTCCCTTTTTTATACTAATGTTTCGTTTTTGCTTATGATTGAAAATGCAGAACCTTTACAAGTGTTTTAATATTTCAATAAATAACATAAAATGCGTCGACGAAATTAACTCTGCATTTGTTTTTATTCAATTCTTTACGAAAATAAAAAGAATGTACTCGAAGTGGAAATATTGAGTACCCATTTGAACCGAACTTTTATAGAATCAAAGTTGTAAATAGAAAGTTTTTTGTTTTCTAAAAGTAAAAATTAAATATTAATTCTACAGAAGATTGTTGATCAAACAGCAATAAAAATTCGGGTGTCGCCTACTCGTTTTATCCGTTGAAAAGAAATATTGATTTAGCTAATAAAAAAATCATCGAAATATTTCTTCTTTCTGTTTAGTTTTTTTTTCCTATAAAATTAAACAAGCAAATTTTCAGTATAAAATCAATAAGAGATTAATATTCAACATACATTAATTCGTAGATATTATCAATTCATCTTTGATTCAAATCTGATAGAAATCAAATAAATATGAAATTAACATTATTAACAATAAATATTTTATTGATTATAAATAAATTATTATTAATAAATGGATTACCACCAATACTGTGTCCATCTCCAATAGCACTTCGTGATACATCAAATCCAACAACAGTTGTTGGTAATGGAACAGTAGCATCATGCAATGAAATGAATTTAGCAATTGCATTAAGTCTTGGTGGAATAATAACATTTAATTGTGGTTCCAATGGTCAACCAGTCACAATTGATATTCACAGTCAGTTAAATGCTGCAAATACAACTGATACAATTATTGATGGCGGTGACATAATTACATTAAACGGTTTAGGTTTAACAAGAATTTTAAAATTTAATCGAAACGATTTTCGTTATTCCACCCCAGTATTGACAGTTCAACGTTTAACATTTATAAATGGCTACTGTCAAGATCTTGACGGTGGCTGTGCAATATTTCAATCACTTGGAGGATCGACAGTTGTTATTAATTCCATATTTGAAAATAATACAGGACCTGTTGCTGGACAAGATGTTGCTGGTGGAGCGATTTGGACAATCGGTGGCGGAACAACAAATATAATTCGAAGTATGTTTCTTGAAAATAAATGCTCAAATGGCGGTGGACTCGGCATTCTTGGCAGTGGTTTAATTATTGTTAATTCACATTTTGAAGGAAATCAAGCTACGGGAAATGGAGGAAATCCAGGTAATGGTGGTAATGGCGGTGCTATTAGTTTCGATGGCTTAGGAAGAAACAATTCAATTTGTGGAACAAGATTTACAGGAAATCAAGGAAATAAATATGGTGGAGCATTTTTTCGTGTTGCTTACAATGGAAGTGAAAGAAATGACTTTGAACAGATTATTGTTGATAATAATTGGATACCACAATCTGCAAATGGACTTGCTGGTGGTTTATATATTCAAGGTAGTATGGCAACAATTAAATATGCAGCTATTGTTAGTAATTCAGCTGGAGGTGGTGTGTGGAATCTTTTTTGCTAATCAAAACTCAGTTACATTAGATTCAGTTCATTTAATAGACAATCAAGCTTATGCTGGATTAGGTGCTGCTGTTTTTTGTTCAAATCCTGTTCTTGGAACATTTACAAATCTTGTTGTTGCTAATAATCATGCTGGGGCTTTTGCTGCTGCTTTTGCTGGTTGTTCAACAACAATAACACTTTCAAATACAGTTATTGCAAATAAAACCGTTGGAAATCCATGGCCAGCTAATGCTTGTTCGTCGCCTATGAATGATGGTTCAGGTGTTGTTCAATCTCCTATTAATAAACAGACACCAGCTTCGGGTCAAGATGCTCTTTGTACAAACGGAGCTGTTATTGGACTTAACAATGTGACTGTTGTTTTAAATGAAACAAATTGGGAAATACAAATTGTTGGCGCACAATCATCATATATAGGTCCATCATCAATTTCATCTGTAACTAATACTAATCAAACATCAGCTCCATCATCAACTATAACTACATTTCATTATTCATTTTGTTTAATTCTTTTACAACAATTTATTTTAAATTATTAAAAACTTCAGTTGGACGTTTCATTTTTTTTTCTAAATAAATATATTTTCATTTAAAAATGATATTAATAAAGATTATTCGAAAATAATTTCAAATAAATCCTTTCAATCTCGCTTAAGGGTCATTATCAAGTGAATTTGGAGTATTTGAAAATGGAGACAAATTTAACTGAAACTTTCAGAAAATATTCAATTACATGTTAGTCAGCCATTACCCAAAATTTCAGTTTGATCCGTTGAACTTTTCCTGTATTTCAATTCATGAAGAATATAGACACTCAATATGCGTAAAATGCCCTATAGAGGTTTTTTCAGGGATATCAGTAATCACCCAGGAATGCACTATTTCAAGAAGATAAAACTCTGAAAAATCTGCTGTGATATCAATATAAAGTTTATAGAATTTAAATTAGGAGTAATGATTGCCAGAGAAGGAATATTGAATATCTTCGGCTTGCGTCCTTGACAGCAGTGGTAATATTTTCATTAACATGTGAAAAGAATCAATCATTTTATCATAAAGCTCAGGTAAAAGAATAATATTCTTTGTGGATGCTATTCTAAAACGATTTATCTGTATTGGCTTGTTCTCAGTTTGGTAGGGTGAATTAGTGTAGTCGTTTTCATGGGAAGGAACTGAAGAACTCTTGTCTTTTCTGTTACGATCAGAGGGTCTATAAGTATTAAGATAGTGAACGTTGTGGTGCATAGCTCAATGGATGACAATCGGAATTGGAATAGTAGTGACAGGACCGTGAGAAGATACGTTAAACAGATTGAAATCACCAATTTTTTGTTAGTGGGAGAGCTGCGAAAGTAGAGGTTTGTGCATGCGCCTTGTATTGAACAGTGATGCAAAACTGACGTAGTATAGTACAGTATAATATTCAGCTAAAAGTTTCTCCAATAGTGTGTAGCGTATTTTATGAAACGCGAAGAGCTAAACCGCTTTTTTATTAGGGATAAAATTATTGCCTTTCACGAAACCTAAATTCTATGAAACGTAAAAAGGGTTCGATTTGATTTAAAAAATCGGAACCTTTTGAGGTTTTGTCTGGCATCTTTTTCGTTTTCAGTGTACTGCTTTGGGCACATGGAAAATCTACTGAATTAGAGATATAGTAAAAGAAAGAGAATTGTATAAATTTTGATTGAACTGCTTAAAAACAAGATGAACTCAAGATTATTTTTGAGAATTTTACGAAAGCACACAAAAATCGTATTTCGAGCTGATTGGCTCAGACCAGTCCAAATATCGCTAGAATGGTTAAAATGATTGAGCTAAACTTATTTGTGGACACTTATGTTTTGGTTTATAAATACTGAAAAGATGAGATTTTATGAATTATTGGACGTACAAAAAAATTAACATTTAAAACGGCTTGGATGCTTTTTAACTTTGTTTGAGTTGGCATATAGATGGATAATTTTTACTCAGGATATACATAATTTACAGATTTATCGTGACTAAAACGTTTCGCTCTCATTGTAGGATTGGGTACTTTATGAAACGACAAATCATCCATGTAGGCAAGAAAATGGATATGCATAAGGCGGAAAATAGCTTTCTTGCGAGTTTTCCATATTGATAATTTCATTTGTATAACGTATTTACATAAAAATCATCCGTTAAAATATCAAAAAGAAATATTCGATCAATAAAGAATGATCGTTCGACTAACAATATATAATTTTGATCAATATTTCAATTCTAGTAGCAGTGGCAATGAATTTTTCTACAGAATCATGATCTTTTTTAGGAAGCAATTCTTAGATTAAAAATTAAAATCATGTACTCATGGTTTTCATAAAAATCTACGAGATTATCTAAATTTTTGGTGCTTTTTTTGCCTGATTTGTAAATGACGAACTCTCATGTTTTCAATGTAACAAATCGTAAGATATTTCATGAAAAGCCGAAAAAAATCTTAATTGAGTTCGGTTATGTCAAACATTGTAAGATATTGAGAAGCGACACATTCGCATTTCAGCATTGGAAATCTTGCGCTTTCGCATAACTTGTTACCGTGGCTCTATTGATGAACACTTGTATAGCGTCTTGCGTGGCTGCCTGTCGACTGTGTGCAGTACCGTAACCAATAATACCTGGCGCTTTCGAATCGCATCGAAAACGCACATCCCACAGCCATTCAAATTTAGAAAATCGTCCTTTGATATTACTCATACAGGAAACATCACACACATTGATAGGTATATCCGTACTCCATTGATGCATTTTCCAGATACGATTTATTATTTCACCAACACATTTCTTAGTATTTCCAGAAAAGAGTTCACTGGAACAGATTACATCAGCTCGATCAATTTCTACGTTTGAAACACAGTTACACAACAAGAGGATCACCGCTGGATTAGAAGAATACAAGCAATAAGATAAAAAACTCAATTAAAAATACTGAAGAGAAAACATATTAAAATGAGTTTTTTGAATTATCAGTGAGTATAATGTCGCGGAAACTCCACCATGTGCATTGCAATCCAACGATTTTCTGTTGGTCGCCAGTGCAGAATAATGAGGATAGTTACACGGATAGAGTGCAGACGTCTTCGCCTAAGAAATCGACCATCGTAAAATGAAAACTTCATCTGAACAGAAGAAGATACAGCACACATAAGAGGCCTGGGATTGCTACTAAGTATCAGAGGGCATGGGGTGAGGCGTGAGGCTCTTAGTGAGTGTGAGTGTAGGTCATGTCTTTATTCGCACATCAACGCACATGCTGTATTAGTAACCGACATCAACTCTCATATCTATATCTCACAAGTGCGAGCATTGGATATGAATGTTTCCTATTCAAGTAAAGATTACGAATCAGATATTTGTACATGATGTAGATTTAGTGGTATGAAGCGTATCCTGCCATTTCTGATCGCTAAGTGTTTGTTCTGTTGTTCTTGACCTTTCGAGTCCACCCCATTGCGTTCTTAAATGCGTAAGAAAATGTCCTTGACTTCGGAAACGATGACTCTTCAGACTGTTTTACTATTTGAGCTATTATGAATATGAACGAATCTAATCAATAACTGAAAATATTATTCAGAAAACATGATAGACTGTGCATGTTGATAGTTCCGGACTCAGAAAATCGTGCAATTCCACTGTAATCCACAGGAGAAGATCTGAAAGTTCTCCAGTCGAAATACAACTTCCACCTTCCGGATTTTTACGATAATTTCGTCTCCGCACCTAATTCCATTCTCATGAAAATAATAGTAAAGATTGATTTCGGGTTACTCCATCGCATATGTTTGTAGTAAAGCTTGTGCTGAAGTCAGTTTTATCGTTAATCAATATAACTAACTTCATTTGGTGTAAACAAAGCATCTCTTTACTACGAAAAATTCTTACTCACGAGATAGGGTTTCATTCTATGAGGTTTGTTCGCTTTCTTCCCTGCCTAAACCACTGCTTCCATCTTCTTCTGATTTTCCATTTAGGTTCTATGAAAATGAATCAACTGGATCGACTGAATATCACAGAAAAAAACGTCTTTGTGGAAAGAATCATCGACCTGACTACAGCTTTATTGAATCTACTATAATAGTTAGTTTTGTTTTCTGATTCAGATCCATTTCTTATGATCTAGAAGTGATCTTATCACGAGTTTGAAATACACATTAGTCTTTCTAATAATTACTAATTTTTCAACAGACGACCAATTGGCCGGAGTAGTATACTTTTGAATTCTTTTTTGTCATCTGTAATAATATCATTAAATGTACATACCGCAGATTGAAAGAATGACGACGCTAGATGAAGCCATCAACTGACACACAAGTACTTGTCTCAGCAAATGCAAAGAAACAACAATGTCATTAATATCGTTTTCTTTCTTTCTTTCTTCCTTTATACTTGAAAATTAACGGCCTGTTGGTATGCTGAAGAAGCAAAAACTTCAAGTGAATGATCGCTATTTGCTTCTCAACTATAATCATCGACGTCGTTTTCAACAATAGGAGAACGATACTTGTTTCATTTCCAAGTAGACTACCAAGTGTGGCAAAAATCAGGAATTAAACGAAATGAAAAGTTAAATTCCTAATAGCGATCGAAACTTGAAGGATGTGTTTATATAAATCAAACACGTTTTTTGAATGAAAAGTTGCTGAAAAAAATTCATTATTATTATCATACGGAGATCATATTGATACCGTTAGTCCATCGTATTCTTCGGTGACTTTGATCACGGCAAAAGACTCTGCGAGTTGTTTGCAGAGCAAAATGTTTCATTATTAAGAACTATATTTTTTAAATACAAAAAATTAACTTTAATGCAACTGAGATATATAACCATGAAATGTCATCAAGTTTAAAAGAGCTAATTATATTTATATTCTAACTTAGTAACATGAAATATTGATGCAATATCAAGTACAGTTTTCTATTTTGGCCTGGTAAGGATGGAAGTATGAGATGAAATTATTACTTATATATTTTCTTGATTACCACAAATATTAGAAGATGAAGATGTTTAGTTTTTGTTCGCGGCAGTAATATAACATGTAGTTTTATTCAAAGTTCCATACAGTAACTGAAACAGTAATTGCTCTATATATACGAATCATGATGGTAATTTATTAATGATATAATTAAAAAAATATAAAACCACAATTTTATCTAAAGCTATAGTTAAACTACAAGAACCGGATGTTTAGTCCTTTTGGTCATTTATACAAAGACGAAATATTTTGCGACACCAAAAGGATCTTATTCGCTGTCGTCCTTTCAGAGAGCTCTAAGTTCTGTTTTCTATTCAGACATTTTTTGATAAATTCTTTTCACGTTGTAAAATTTCATAATTCAGAAAATTTTCAATGGAATTTTAATTTTTTATGCAATAATAATCGATTAAACTTAAATAGATGCACACGCAGTCTAAAATATTGATGTAAAGGCGTCTAAACGTCTAACAGACGATAAAGCGTTTTCTTTTTATTACATTTTGCATTAATTATCGGTGTATCGAATTCTTTTCTTACTGTTTTTATCGTAAGAACCACAGGCTTCATCCGTAATTCTTTCTAGTCTTCTTTCTTGACAATAATAGTGACATAAATCATGATAGTGCATATTTATTGCTGGAAACTACGATCAATGTATCGATAAAACATAGATAATCTTTGCTTGATTACAATTGTCCAATAGGAGCCGAACCCGACCCATTTCACTCAACAATCTTCTGCAGTCAAGCCAGAGCAAAGATTATAACGTATGGTATTCTACCGTTGTAAACGTACAAAGCGGCTTGAAATCTGATCATTCAAAAGTGAGCAATGATTTCTCTCAACGCATTCTTATCGATTTCAACAGCACATCGTTCTAGCCAGACTGAGCAAGTGCCAACAGTGGACCCCAAGTTTCTATGATTTTAAAGTCAAATACTATAGTTCAAATACTTTTTTTGAAAAAATCTAGCATAAGATGGGGGAAAATTTGATGAAAACGACAGATGTGTTTAAATTTAATCTGCTCTAATCTACTACAACCGATTCAACTTTATGAGCCAATAAGATTCATTTGAATAAGTTAAAATGAAACAAAGCTTCGTTTCGAAACAGAAAAAGTAGAAGTGAATCATCTATGAATTTTGGCATTATAATGTATCAAATGTTGATATCATGTCGCTTTCAAACAAATATGAATTACATAATTTACAAAATTTCCGGATTCAAGCAAGTTTTCTTGATATCACTTTTTTCAAATTTTTGCAGAAATCGGCTGTCATTGTCTGTTATTATAATCTATCTAGAAAGTATTTACAAGTTTAGTATTTTACTGCAGCGTAGAAATATCAGTAATCTATACATGATGTCCCAATATACAGAGGATGCACTCGAAATTATCGTCTGGTTTGTTTTTCAGCACGCACATCGCGAATGATCTGTTAATCATGGCATGATTAATTGACTCTAATTACTTTGTATTAGGACATGAGCCATAAGAGCACATATCAAGCAAAAACGAAGAAAGAAAGTCGGTTTGTGGATACTAATTTTGCAGAATTCCAAAGTGCGAACTATAATCCCATAGATGGCTATGAAGAACTGGTTGTTTCGTCATTAGAGCAAGCTGTACAACCAATTCATTTACTTATTCCTGGTATTTCAGATTATGTCACTCATGCTAAGCAAAAGTGTGTACAAAATTCGCCTTTGCTAACACTTGAAGAATGCGCTGCCATTTATCTTTATACCATGTCAACAAATTTATTTAAACAACTAAATAAAGCACTTCGAGCCAAAAAACGATGGGAGCTGAAACCATGGTTTCCCTTCTTGAAACTGTTCATAACTGCACTAAAGAAACTGCCACCACTTAATGGCACCGTCTGGAGAGGAATTATTGGCAACGTTACTTCTGGCTTCAGTGAAAATGATAACGAAACTTGGTGGAGTGTGAACTCCTGTTCAACAGATATAAAAGTCGCGCAAGCCTTTTTGAGTCCATCGGGCACTTTGTTTGCTATTCATACCACAAGCGGGAGAAGCATACACGAGTACTCAGCACATAAAGACGAAAAAGAGGTCGTGCTTTTACCAGGTACTCGCTTGCTGATTCAATCCGGAGTAATGAATCACAGCGATAGCCTCTTCATCGTTTCTATGCAAGAAGAAAATTCTGGAACATCATTTGTAGCACCAAGGTTAGTTGAATTCTTCAATAACATGACGTCTAGATAATGGATTGTTGGTTATTAAAAGATATTTACGTCATGTGAACCGTTTCTAGATGCTGGAAGAGTATGATGTCCTTCTATCTCTAAGTCATTAGGAGTAGGTTCACGAAAAGACCGGCTCACGTTAATAGAGGCTGATTACGGAACACTTTAAGATTTTTAATTTCATTATCTCATTCGAAAGTCTAAAAAGATTTATTATGGAAACCCAATCACTACTCCAAGAATATAACAGGGACCTCATTTATTCGATTTTCTTTTCCACCATTTGATAGTTTCAGGCGTAGCACATCTCAATTGATATAGAGACTTTTTCATCACTTGGTGAATGTCATATTTCATTGAAAAAGGGTGAAATTATAAAAAAAACTCAGAATGTAGCTGGAGGAGTGCTCAAATGTGGGTGCGAGTGAAGGGTATATATGCATTCATATGTCGCATATATTGGAAAGTTAAATTAAAACTAAATCTAGGAATAGATTTAGTTTTAGTTTAACTTTTTCTTTTCTCCATTTATATTCGAACTCGAATTAGACAGCTGCTCAATTTTTTACGCTCTAATTGTAATCAAAACGTGAGATATTGAATATTCTCTTGAGCGGAATTCTTGTGTGGATAGTAAGTCGAAATCCTATATTGAACGCTTTGAACGACACTGAGCGTTCCAAAAGCATACGTATATATCAAGAACAAAGCAACTCTTCTGCTACCTGATAACACGCTGAAGATCCACTGCTTTTTCCGCACAACAGAAATACCTGGGAGGATATATTAAATATTTCATTTTAGCGATCCGAATTCAAACTCACACACACCTTCAACCGAGATAACAGGTAAATATGTTTATTTATTCAATAAGCTAAAGTGTAAGCTTCAGGGTGAACAACTATTCCTTCTTAATACTTGGCGAATTCTTTACCAATGAAAAGATTATACAGCTCATTGGCAGTCATGTTTTTGTCTTTCGAAGACGGTACTTTTTCACAAAATAATAGACATTGAAAAGTCTCGGAAAATCGAATCTACAATTTCTACAACAATCGAATATTTAGCTAGCCATTAGGTTCACTATTACCAAATTACGGTATCAAGGGCACTTTTAAAGGTTAAAAATTGGAATTTTTTTACTTTTATGAATCGCAACAGGAACCAAAGCGACTGTTCTATTGTCAAATGTTTCTTTTACGAATAATTTGAGAACTATTGAGAGTTATTCAATTCTATGCGACAGAAAGGATGGAATAGTTTTTGCTAATACTTGGTTGAGTCTAAGCACTAGTTACTAATAAACTTACAGGTTTTAACACTTATTGCAACGAAATATCAATTTCTATGATATTATTTTAGAAAAAGGCTATCCAGATGGTAGTCGATATGAAGGATATCTCAAGAATGGTAAGAGACACTGCTTTGGCGTGCATTATTACAAGGATGGAGGAGATTACACAGGCCAATGGGTTGATGATGAACAAAATGGGGAAGGAATACGTACATTTTCAAGTGGCAGTAGATATGAAGGAATGTATAGAAACAGTAAAAAACACGGTTATGGCATTTATTGGTTTGCCAATGGGCAAATTTATGATGGTGAATGGATCGATGACAAAGGAAACGGACAAGCGATCTATATTTGGCCGGATAAAACGCAGTATAGAGGAATGTTTAAAGATAATTTAAAGCATGGGTACGGAATACTAGCATTTCCAGATGGCCGTACCTGGAAAGGATTTTGGGAAAATGACAAATACAAAGGCGAAATCCAATAAACATATTTCAATCTATTGATTGACAACATATATTTTTAGACAGGATTGAATACAAAAACTGATCGAATTTTTGAAGAAAAAAGTAGTTTGAAATTCAATTTTTCCTATGGCGAAAGAGGTGTTTATCAAATAATAATCAAAACAGCAGAAGCATAACTTTTAAAAACTATAATCTGATCAGTTTACTTCTTATCTAAATAATATTCGTCTAATTGAGCATCAATATCGTAATAGCTAGCCTTATACTGTAAAAAGGAATTTTAAGATCGAATCTATCAAAGGTTTTGTTTTATTTTGAATTACAATGCTTATTAAGAACGCTATATAAAATAGATGCAAATTTCATGCAAAGTTAAATAGAGGTAATCCGTCTATATCTATTCAATCTGAGTACATTTCAACTATCAATATGACAGTCTCCTGTCAACTGTTGTTCTAGGAGAACCAGATAAACAATAATATACATTTTCGTTTGTCCAAGTTTTATTTTGGCGCTAGAGCTAGAAATGGGTGGCAAAGCTCTACAAAAGACGAAATACAATGCAAAATCAGAAAAACACTTTTTGGAAAATTATCTGTGCAATTTTTGTTAAAATGTATTGACATTTTCTATATCCTATCGGCTATATGACCAGGAATATCAGCATTAATAGATTTGATTGTACAGAGTAGTATCAGTCGATTTCGAAACTGATTCGAAGTTTTATCAACTATGTAATGAGTATATTCTACTTTATTTTCGACTGGTCAATATGCAATCGATATAGTCGACGAAAATGCCAGAATGGTTGAATATGTGAACACGAAGTAAGAAACGATACGAAACTTGACGGCTGATGATATACCGCAAAGGATACACCAACTCGTTGTAATCAGTTTTTGTTTAATAGTCTTCAATAAGTATTCAATCATTCTGGAAACTACATTCTTCTATTTTTACCTGAATTTCGCTAGGCTGAAGGCCGACACGGCAAATAAACTCCAACTTATTATGAGCGGTATACTAGTGATTTACCGATCTGTATTGATCGATATTAGAGTAGTGCCAGATGATCCTGATACTAATATGTCGTTCTAGTTCCATCTCTGCTTTATGATATGATGCGTGATTAGCTGAAAGAAAACACTCTTATATAAGCGGTTTCAAAAATATTTTATTGTTAAAATATTTCGAAAACTATGCAATATACAACATTCACATGATACAACAGTAGATGACGAAAAAACAAAAATGCGAAACCACAATTCACAAATCATTATGTGATCTTGAGCATCATATTAATTAGATCCGAATAAATTGCACTTAGTGTGGTTCCGGAATATTGGATATCAAACTTTCTTCTGACTTTAGTAAATGATAATTCCATCCAGAACACTGCCGATAGCGAACCCATACAATCAATATTAGAAATAAGAAGCAAGTTGCTGTGCTCATTCCAATCATAATCAGCACGTGGAAACTATTTTTGATTGTCTTCGGTGCCGTGGTTGATGATTCAAGCTTGAACCATGTGTCCAAACCTTTAGAAACAACAAAACTAAACTGATCAAAATAAATCAAGACACACATGCGTTTTATATTATCATTGTTTTATGGAATATGCGTCGTAACACTTCTAATTATGCAACCTGTATTGGGAGAAGCATAATCAATTATCAAGAAGTGACTACTATGAAAATTGCAAGCATATTATTCATTGACGAACACACCATCACACTGAAGTATGATGGAGAAAGCAGTGTTGAACAGCAGTTTGTCCAGCAAGAGTACTATTAAGTAGCTGCCTAACACTAAGAAGTTTTCCCAGGTAAATATTTTTTGAATGAAAATGCGTCTTAATCGCGTTTAGTTTACGTCTAAATCGCAGTAATCGAGCGCGTATAAACGCAGCTCCGATGAAACAATTCTTGCGTATTGACGCGTGCGAATTTTGAAATTTCAAAAATGTGTTACAATTCGTCTCAGGTTTGATCTGAGCCGCCATCAATACTGTTTAGCGATGGTCTTCGCCTAATTATAGGCTAACGGAAAGTTTAAATTTTGATATTTCTAAAATGATGAAAATCAGATTAAAAAAAGTGAAGTAGTGATCACAAAGCAAGTGTGCATACCATTGAGACACATGTGATCACGCTATTTATTGAATGAAACAGAAACTATATATGGATCGTCTGCTAGAAACATTTATAAATACATGTACCAATACGACTCTATCTACCTATAATAATTTAATTATTATTATATATACACATATATTTACTTATTAGAAAAAGTTGTGCCTTCAGTAAAGTAAAGTAAATAATTTAAAAAAAATATTGTTTATATTGTTTTATTTTTATTACTTTCGATTTTTGAATATCGATGTTTCAGAATTTATGTGGCTATTCTATTCTATTGAAAAATATTCATTTATTTTGTCTTTTGGGAGAAAAAACCTTCAAAATGGTTTAGGATTCGATAATCTCTAGATTAAATTAATTTGATAGGAAAAGATTAATAGATATTTTCTGGTGAATATCGAATCAATCGTGATATTATTATTTTTTGTTAACATAATTCTGGATCGAGTTTCGTTTCTATATTAATCGTAACTGTCGCATGTGTCTTATCGCGGTTCATGTGAAGCATTTCTTTACGTTGAAACGCGATTGCAACGAAAAATGCGTCTAGACACAAAAATGTTACACTGGAGACGCGTCTCACAAGAAAAAAGCGTTTAAACCCCCATTTTTTTGCGTTTGGTGTTTACATGGGTTGGGTAATAAGTATATACAGAAACTTTATGGCAAACCTATGTCACACATTGACACAACGATTTTCTTTTCGTGAATAATACTACTATCATAATGTTATCTAAGCGTTCGAGTGTTTAGCAGAAATTCGAGTGTTAGACCTGTAAGTCGTTTTATTGGTCACTGATAGTATCTAGTAAGATTTAACATTTCGATGATGATGAAAGTTTTCTCAGTTCCGAAAAGTTTCAAAATAGAAAAACCAAAGCATATATAGGAACACTTCTACTAGAAAATGTCAGGTTCTCAAAAAAGTCTAAATTTATAGTTGCTTGGGACATATCAAATTAATCATTACGCTTGTGTGAGCTAAACATTTTTCATTAACGAGGTGTCATTGTGAATTTTTCAAAGAGAGCGTTCCATATACGTAGATCACATTTGGTACTACGCAGTTTTCAAGTTAAGATACTTAGATTGCTCTGCCTACAAACACGAGAAAGCAATCCTTCCAGGTGACTGTAAACAATTGTATACGATCGTCATTCTCAAATACCATGCTTAATAATCGTATAAACATGAGAAGACTATTTATGATAGTACTGTATGAACACTTTATTATGTTCATGATAGCATAGGCCATGCTGTATAGAAATGAATCAACTTGTGAAACGATCTACTCTAGTGTAACTCTTTCTGTTTGGGTAACTTTCAAACAATATTTCTAACTATCTTCACCGAATAAATGAAAATTGATCTACGTTGTAGAAGGATATGGAAATTTGTTTTTGAAAATTCAATTTTTCTTCTATTTAGAATCACAGATTTGAAATTTATTCATTCAAGGCAACTTTGGAAGATATTTCTTCTTTCATCAATTACACATGTAAAACGAACACACTATTTGAATGGAATACAATATATGTACAGCTGTCGATTTATGATACACGATCTAAAAAGAATGTTGAAGTATAAGGGCAGACAATTTGAGCCCACAGAGTTGTCTCCTCTCTTCAAAAACAGGAGGTGGAGTTATAGACAAGGGGGGGAGCGGATCCCGGGATCGGCTTTTTCCCCCTTGGTTATCGGAGTCTATAGAGTATTACATTTCAAACTGAGTTTGAGAAATGTAATCAACGAGCTCCAGTTCTAAGCAGTAGTCATTTTTGCCTACTTCGGCGATACAATGATAATGATGTAAGGATACGAATATACACCGTCCAGCAAAAATCTTCCAACCCTCCGCTTTTTTTTCTATCATTCTCTGGATCAAATTTATTATCAATGAGAAATATAAAATGGCATTTTTATTTCAATACGATCTGTACGTCATACTGAAATAAAACTACCATATCATATCTCTGTTTGGTAATAAATTTGATAAAGAGTATGAGGGCATAAAAATGGAGAGAGAGAGAGAAAGACGGAAAGACTTTTCCCAAGGGCGCAGTTATATTTGCGCAGACATAGAGTTATAGTGATGTAGTCATAAGACTTCAATGTGTCAAGTTGTGAATAAATTATAATTTATGAAAAGAAACATTGTATGCAATTACATGATAGTGCAACATATTCCATGCATCACAATGTCTTATTTGTAAAAATCAGCTACATGTATTTCCCTTTGTATTCCTTAGAGATTAACGAAATGTATAAACTTCGCCGAAGAAACATTTCGCCATTGGTAACGGAGTTTCAGACTCGCTTAAAATGACATTTTAGCGTTAACGTAGATCTTCATAGGCATTTCAATTATTGTTTTGAAGAACTTAATATCTACGTCGACCGTTGATGGGTACGAGGGGGAAAATTCAAGAAAAGGATGAAAGTTATAGAAAGATTTTGAAATATACATAAGTCGACTTAGTTTTTTGTGTTGATTTCAAGTACTCCATTTTTAGAATTTAATTGACGAATTTTCTGCTCGACAACAGTCGAATATTAATCGACGAATACTCAGATAACCTGTGATTTAGAGTAGTTAGACCAAAAGAAATTTGTAAGACATCGATCTTCAAATTCAATCAAAATTTTGATTTTAAGGCTTTAAAAGAGTGTTTCAGTTCGTTTCTATTATATTATTGCATTTGAAAATAATTACAATGTGTGTAATCAACACACTTACTATAATCGTGACTGTAAAGACTTGAAGTAGAATGGCGATAAAATCATCTTTTAATAAATGAGAGATACTTCAAGTGTGAAACACTTAGCTGTGATAAAATGGTCAGTGTTCAAACATGATTTTCAGTGTAATAAAATTAGTCTCAAGTTTTCTTTTTAGATTGTGTCACAGAAAATTTAATGAGGATAATGGCCAAATATGAAAATAATATTCGGTTAATTGAAAATTCTGTTATAGCTTTGATCGTACCTACCGTTAAGTATTGATGCAAGAGTCGATTAGTTTCTTAAAACGTGTTTTTCTCGGCAGCCTGCTAGTTCATGCTATTGATGATTATTGAATTTTTTCTTATTCTCACGATCTCTAACTGTCGTTGATAATTGATACAGCTGACAATTAAATTTTGTTTTTTATTTAGCGAAAGAATTATTCTCGATGGCAACATGAAATAAAAAACGTAGACGAGGTTGGCATAAGCTTCCATTAACAAAATCCACGTTAGGCTTTTAAGCCTCTGAGTCCAAATGTCTTCGTCACTGTTGCTGAAATCCGATACTATCTTCTGAGTTTATTGATAAAGTCAAAAAGACTATTTTTCAAATAAAAATTCCTTCTCATATTGATTGAATCAAGAGCTTGATAAATTTCAGATTAGAACAATTACTGAACAAGAGCCTCTAATATATACTCACGTCTAACTGTTATTCACTTTTAGAAATAATGGAGACATTATCTTTTGAACCACATACGGATGGATTATGAGTTAACTTAATCTCCTCAGTTTCCCCTGATAATTAGGACTACTGAGAGGCACTGCTAGTCTTTTCATGACTCATGCAGATCAGATGCAATCGAAAGGTGTAACCGATAGGCGGAGGAACGGTTTCCATCTAGGGTAGGCTCAATTTTCTAGCTAAATGAGATAGGGAAGCAGCAGGGTTGCCATGGCCATTTCAACTTTGGGAAGCGGCGATGTAAAAATTTTTTTCTTCAAGATGTTGTGCTCAAGGATGTTGCGAGCATCCAAAAATTTTAGGCGACAGTAACTAGTCTTGCCAGATTCACTTGATTTCGAAATATTTTCAGGATTCTCTGCATTTTTTTCGAATTTTTTCGTGATTTTTCTCACTCTTTTGGGATTTATCTGTATTTTTTCTCGTTTCTTGATTGGTTTTTCTCAATTTTTTCGGAGGTTTTGGCAATTTTTGGGATTTTTCAGATTTTTCAGATATAAATTTCGGATTTTTGACCTTAACATCTGACATCAATGAGGGTAACTGATAAAATTGTGCTTGAGATAGTGTAAATTTCATTTTGTGAAGTACAATGCAAGACAATTTTTCGAATATTGGGGGTTTTACATCCTCGTCACCCCTCGATCAAGGCATGCTTGGGTAGCTGATCACGAATCAGCTTTTGCTACTTTTTTTCAATGTTGATTTCTTGGTAGATTTAAATCTCATAAAGCCCAATGAACATCTTCTCGAATTCCAATTCGTATTGGTGATAAAGAAAATATGAACTAACTTTGCAACAATACGTCATATGCTACTGACACTGTAAGTCATACGTGAAAGCTACACAATAATGAAAGACTTAGATATAATTGACCCTACCCAAGCCTTTAACTGTTCTTGTTTGAGCCTACTCGAGCTTAACCTATTCCAAACTAGGATAGACTCGAGCCTCGTGAGCCTACAGGCTCCGCTGTCTATGGTGTAATCCGTATTATGGAATGCTATATATTTTTTTCCATAGTAAATCTGCTACAGAAAAGATATTCTATATCGAACGATATATTTGATTGGTTTTTACGATGTTGATTAATAGCTACCAAAATCTTACCTGTTACTTTTGTAAAATTCTTATTTTACTATATTCCCTCTACTGAAAGGAGGGTATTACTAAAAACGAGTTAAATGCGTTTGTTCGTCCAATAGAAAAACAGGTGCATAAACTTAACTAAACTCAAGCAAAGCAATATCTCTAGAGATAGGTTTCACCGAAGGTAATCGGGGTCGGAAAACACGACGGCGTCGTTAGTTTTTTTGAAATTTTGCTTTTCCATTTTTTCTGGAGAGACACTTTTTTGGAAAAAAATAGCGTTTATAAGGGTTGACTGAAGGTAATCGGGGTTGGTGAATACGATGGCGTTGCCAGTTTGTTGAAATTTTGTAGTTTAAGCAATTTTATAATCGATGAGGAGCAGTTTAGATCGTCGCATTTTCGTGAAAAGAATTCTTTGTAGGGGAAATCGTTTGAGGGTACCATTCGATGATGTTTAGGGTTTAGATGTATCGTATGGTTATGTGAGATCTTATTACGAATAGGCTATAGGCATCTTGCGGTGGAATTGATTCTCAATTTGGCAACGGCTAGCCGCTCGCCTGCGCTAAGACGTTAAGAGCTTTTTTTTGAAAGTCTTCAGTTTATTCTTGGTATGTCAACTTTTATTGTAGCACGAAGAATTTATTCAAACTTAATTCCTAGAATTCTAGATTAGGGCATCTACGAACGGCCGCGAACTGGATAAGTACTCGGAAATCTTGTCTCATTCTTCTCTAAATTATGAGGAATTTCTCGCATATGTAAATGAAACTGGATTAAACTAATTCCACAACTGTCGGGATTATCTTAATAAGTTTAGTTTTTCCTGATTGCGAGTGAATTTGATTCAAAAGATGTAAATGTTAGATTTATCTATCTGTGAATGTGCACCAGCGAATGAATATATGCCTCCTAGACGGAAATCGCACTGAAACAAAATGAACCTAGATGAGATTGATCAAAAATGAGGACAAATCGAACCGGAATCGAGTTAGAAAAGGTCAGTTTGATTTGATCTATGATTTACTCGTGCAAATTCATGTTAAATATTTGGTCCACAGGCCAATTTGAGTTGTAACTTTGCTAAAATGGGATATTTCGATCAGAGCTCTCCTGAATAGGTCTTTTTCTTCAGTGCGTTATCAAGCTAATTGAAAGTTTTCGGAGTATAGCTTGAGCTGTAGCAGATCGGATGCAGTTATCTTCAGTATTCCTATATAGTATTAGTAAGTACTACTCAAATGTCGTTTTCTTGGTGATACTTCCAAGCAAGATTTCTATCTATGCTCGGTTATCAATGGTGTTTTCCAAGAAAATCATTTCGAAGCTATAAAATGTGAAGTCTCTCAGCTGGATAGTTTTGAATAGCTACGTTCTACATGACTAAATCCTTTCAGTAGAGGGTTGGTGACGCTAACGTCGCGCTACCTGGTACGCATAAATCCAAGAACACACCATCAATTACATCGATGTTATTAGAGAAAATATTTAAATATAAAAATTCATCGTTATGGCATAATATTCTAGAGATGGCTAGTTCAGTGAACTACCTAGGCACATCAAGTTAGTGAAAATTTTCACAGGTCTCAATAATCAACAGATGAAGCCATGCTTCATTCAAATACGACTGTAAAAACTCACTTTCGTTGTTACAATGATTAGTCCAACAACACTTGATACGACCCTGAAAATTGGCACCACCATACGAAACATTATTGCCCGATTGGATTTCACAATCCGCAATCAATGTTCGTATAGCGAAAGCAGGATAACTGATATTAGTGGACGGATCTTGTCCCGGAAAACCGATGATCATCTTGAGAAGATTATTATAAACATTATGCTCTGGCTATTTCGTTCCAAACACTTACGGCACATGCTTCAGATGAGATTGACGATCCAGAGTCATACATATACAGACTTGATGTATTCAACGTGCTGCATCCTTTCATACCGGTGACACGAGAGTCACATGCGAAACATTTAATCGTCAATTGTCGAGGAATATCCTGGCGATTGCATTGCGGAGAATTGCAACAAAAAGAATCTCCTACTAAAGGATAGGAACCGGCACGTAAAACAAATTTACCAGGTGAGCAACCCTTCTTGTAGGAGTAGTATCCTATATCGGTCACCAATGTTGTTACACCCTATAAAACAGTTGATAATAAAATAAAATAATATTTTAAAAACTATGATATCCTTTGAATCACTATGAAATTATTTTAAAGAATGTTTGGTATCCATACTATAAGTTGATTCTATACAGTACACGAGATCCGTCATTAATAGAATATGGAAGCAAGTCTATCATATCATATATCGGATGAAGAATAGCATCTTACTGAGCTTTGTTCGCACAAAAATTTTGAAGAATTCTTGGTGAAATTTAACATAAATATGAGTTCTTGTGTGTTACAAACGAAATGCTAAACGCTAGGATGTAAAGAGTCAGATTTTTCTTTTCGATCAAACAGCTCTAGTAACTGCCATTCGTAGGAAATATTTATTGATTATCCAAGTTTCGAATGATAACATATCGAATTCAATTCAATACTCAATAATAATACTGACTCTTAATAAATACTTCTAGTATCGTCTCTGTTTCACAATTATTGAATAAATCACATGTAGATCAAAATATAGTCTAGAAATTCGAGCTAATTCTTATCAATTCCATTATGTTCACTGTCTTCATAGTTCAAATCTGCTTTCATCGGAGCATTCATATTATCTATCACATATAACTATAGTCATTTTTGTCATTCTCTGAGAATTGAGCTGGCATAATTTTTAAGTTTTTTATCGGTTAACATTGGTGGATGTCTTCGATGTTTGATATTCTAGTCTATAAAAATTATTAGTTGTTCATAATCTTACCAAACATGATTCAGTAGCACTGCTAAGAGAAGCAACATAGAATTTACTAGCACAGTTGCGATCACCCGTCAAACACTGAGTAATAACACACTTGAGAGTTGTGAATGCTGGCAGAGGCGGTGAAGGTAAAGAGTTGCAAAAGTTGTCGTTACAACAGAATTGTCGTTCTGAACTGCGGCATTCATACGAATGAACCAAACTTCGTGTTGTTAAGCCGTCTTGACTAACAGATATCTATTTAGTTCGGTCAGAATTTGCGAATTCTTTATCATCAGTGAATACTTACTGAACATGAATCAAAAAATCCATCTCCATTGGATCCCACTTGTGTAGTACTCTTTGAATCAGGTGAAAAAGAAATACCGCATTCAGCTCCTCCAGAACAGGCATAACATTGAAGGCATGTATATCTTGTAACCGCTATTCAAAATTGTGACATGAGTCGTTTTTCAATCTTATTGACGAGAAACTACTCACTGTAAGCTAATGTTATATAACAAATAATGATTTGAAATCTCTGTTTGGCAGAACACGACAAGACAGAATTTATAACCTTCAGTTGAAAGATACTCGTTGATGGATCAAATAGTCCATGAAAAATAAACCGTCGCATCATTTTTGGTGAAATAAAAGTTATAACATTCTACTTCTGGCAATCCAAAAGTAGTCTTGTCATTACTTTATTTCTGTATATAAAGCTTGACAAAATTTTCTTTTTTGATGTATTTACAGATAAAACAATACTCTATCGTTTTATACTATTTGATCACTCTTCAACTAATATCATAATAATAAAATTTCGATAAGAACTGTTTTTAAGTATGAGTTCACTGTAAAAAAAAACGCGTAGAATAAAAAACGAAAAAAAGGTTTATGAAAGTGCAACGTATAACAAACCCTTGGGAGGGTTTTTATCACCGGTTATACCGTTCACAAACGCTTAAAGGAATTGTTATACCTTACACTTTATTAAACCCCTTAAACGGGTTGATGATAGGATAGAGCAATGATATGATCAACCACATAAATGACTTCAAGGGTTTATGAAAGTGAAGATCAAATTAATGATAGACCACATAGATACAGCTCAGAGTGTTTATGAAAGGGTACATCAAGTGTGCTATTACTCTCATTAAGTATCTTCTATGATATTCATAAACCGAACGATATATTATTATCGACCAGATGACAGAAATTGATCGATTATATGAAGCCTGAATTAGGAGCTGTACATCTGTCGAAACTCCGACCGAATCAGATGCTTAGTCGAAGGCATCATAATTTAAGACAATTGATAAACTATGAAGTAATTTTAGATAACTTCTATAAATCATGTATATAGATTTATAGAAAAAAAATACTCAATAGAAATAGAACACTATAATTAAATCAAAATTGTAAGAAAGCTAGAAGAGTGATTGTAAATTGAGCAAAGTAATAAACTCTGTAAGAATATTTATATCAGCTCAACCAACTGCAAAATTTGGTAGAATATATGCGGAACACCATTGTAATTGACTGTATATTATTAAATAAAAGAAAAATGCATCTCAACGATCTCACGATATAGTCTATAATTCAGTAAGTTGATTCAGAAGTTGGAATATCTAGTAAAATTGTACAACTTGATTCTCTTGTAGCTCTCTTTGCCTTATTATAGCACTGATGTACCTTTTTGCCAAACCTGAAAAATATAGTTTCATTATTAAACTTTTTATAGCATTTTTTCTATCGTTTGGATCAACACAACTCAATCATCTTATTATAAATTTAACTCGATTTTAAACTTAACAAGAATGTGGACAAAATGTGACTCGCTTCAATTGATATGAAAAGTTCAGAAGATACTTGGATTGGATCTTAATTGCAGGATTCGAGCTTTATTCAACAAAAATTTACGTTGTAGATGTTGTTTGTGAAAGCCTAAAAAGAAAAGTTCTTGATTAGTTAATAGAAGAATATCTTTTATTAAAATATTACTAATAATGTTGTTTTAACATACATTTTTTAGATAAAAAAAAGTCAGCGTCAATTCAATGAACAAAATATCATAGACTAAATAATGAAAAACAATAATCATAATTACTCAGAAAACCATTAGCACTAACCTAGATGCACAGGGAATTCATTTGCGCAACCACAACTGCATCAATCGATGAAAAATAGCGAATAAGAAGAACCTAATAAAAGCAAACAAAAATTAGAAGTTAATAGTAGATTAAGCAACAAAATACATCCTACTCTATTGTTTCAAGTAAGCGTTATCAGTAAAACTTATATCTATTGTAATCTTCTTGATGATCTACTGCATCTCAACACTTAGATTATATCATGAAATCTGAGTTGGAAGAACTCATCCTATTTATAGTGTATGTCACCAACTGTAATTCTCATCAATTAGAAGGATGTTCTTTAACAAACAAGATAGGAAGTGGAGAATTAAAAAGAGTCTACGTTCATGCGTATGGAATCATAAGGGTTGAATGTTCGAATATAAAACTAGTCAATAGAAAATGAAATCATTACGTATCTGCTCGCTAGCTGTCGTAAATAAGAATATCATTGGTGTTAACCGAAGTAGATTGTGTTTGTAACTGGTTGTATGGTTGCGAGTTTCCGTCTAAATTAAAAAAGAAACGATTCAGAAAAATAAACAAATGATACACCAGCAGAACGTTTGTTTTTCCAAAGATGTCATGAATATAGTAATAATAGACGCAAAACTTATCTACTTGTCAGCAGCGCATCGCATCCTTGAACCAAAAACGGATGCCGAAGCAGTAGTCGATCTTATTCCATCATTAAATAGTTTCAGTGCATTGAAACACAGAAAAAAACACAAAATAAAAGTAAATAATGAAATTTAATGTAGAAAACTAGTCAAAAATTCATTCACATAGAGGCGGAAAATCGCAATAATAGATAATATTTATCTGTACTTTGTTTTGTCGAACAAAACCATTTTTTTGTAGTTCAAATTGACAAATATGATGCTTTCTCTGTATTTTGCATAAGCAAACACCTGCACAACACAAGTAAATAAATCCTACAAGAAGAGAACAATATCTACTTAAAGAGAATTACTGTTTGCATAAACTTTTTTCATACTTAAAAGCAGAATAAATCTAAATGCAATGCTCATCTCTTGAAAATCACACTAACAACATCATCAGAGAATAATCGTGTAGTATGATTCTCTGAAGAATTCTAAATACAACATAAAATAAAGACAAGAAAAATACTAGCGGAATGTTTCCGTACATATATTCAGAGTGTATGAGAAAAACAATCGTACTCTACTCTTGATCTATCCCCATATGATAAGTCAGTGAGATATCGATCAAAATATGAGACAACTTACATAATAGTGAAGAATCATGGCTTTTATTATAAAATGGAAAAGAGTAGTTCTATAGAAAATAGCCATATACGAGAAATCGTTTAAATAAAATTTTCAATAACTAACCATAGTATTATAATTAGAGGCATACTTCTGAAATAATCGATCCAAAAATTGTAACAGCACAATCAGTCGAGGTAAATACGATAATTATGTTTACCAGCTATCAAAACATTGCTTCTACAACTAGAAAAAAAAGAAGGGAATAAATTAAGCATATAGAAACATCAATAGGATAGCAAATATTTAAACAAAGCAAAAATAGATGAAATAAAAATTATACTTATCTATTGGAATAACGTGACCAATTGATTGTCATGTATGATGACTTGTGTTGCAATTACTTCGGAAAACGTTGTTCGTATAACTAAAAACTAAAAATTTAAATTAGATAAACACACAGTTTAACATACTGGTGAATCAATAAGATAGAAAAGAATAATAGAGAGTGAATCAGATAAAATTAGAAATTATGCTTATCTTTTGATTTGTTCTCAAAAAAACAAGAGTGAGTTGACATTTTCGTTGAGAAAGAATGTGTTTTATATGATCATGGAACATCATGATCGTCGTTCTAGAACAGAAAACAGCAGGTGGAGAAAAAAAGAATGATTGTGCTTGACATATGAATTAAATGGATTTTCGCATTGAATCACAAAGATGCTGAAATCAATCACATATCTCTATTTCAACGCAACAATGAATTCGTAATGATGGAATCGATTAATCGAAATATGATAATTGTGTTGTATGTTGTTTGGCAGCTAAAAAAAATACAATTAAAAGATAAGCAAAATATTCTAAAATGCATTGGATTACCGGAGCACAGAAGATTAATACTGAGTAACTCACGGTTAACTTATTCATTGATGTATTTCAAAAAATATAAATAACTTGAGATGTTGTTTAAAACCAACATGTTTTATATCATTGTGAAGAGTCATGATTTTTGTGCGCTAAAATAGATAAAAAAGTTTTATGAAAAATAAATAATTGTATATTAGAGATATGTAGATGGACACATGAACATGTGACTGTGTTGCTACTTGTAAAAGTAGATGCATAACTGGAAAGACAAAAAAAAAGTCAATCAAATGTTTCAAATGTTGGACATTAGTAGAGTACAGGACATTGGTGGAGAATACGTGATATAAAGTTAAAAATTATACTTATCTGACGATTCTTTTTTTAAAGCGAAAATCATTTGAAGTTATAAGCAGTAAATAAGATTTTTAGTACCATTTTGTGAGCCGCCATGAATACATCTAAATAAACAAAATAACAATTAGATGAGACGAGCGTTGATCGTATATAAGTATTGTGCCGATGGATTTGTTGAAAAGGACATGTCTAAATAAACTTTTCTTATATGCTTTCGTATAGAAAAATATATAAAATTCAAATAATCGCTTCGATTTTTATATCAGACTTTCTTCGGTGAAGAAAAATTGGCAGTAATAATTGAATAAATCTAGTTCGTTGGTATTCATCTCCGAGGAATTCTATCTTTCATGATTTAGAACCTCTTGAAGAATTTGAGAGATTCTTATAAGTTCTACAAAAGACAATTGCTTCTGCTCCAGTGTAAAAGCTACTGATTGTGGAATTGATTTGTATATCGTACATAAAAATGCATATGTCGTAGAATAATGAACCTTTTCTGTTACCCGAACGCATCCTAATATATCCTTGATGCTTTCACAAAAACATTTCTTCGTAAGTCGTACATTAATTGACGGATCGAAGCAAATTGATGAACTTTATTGGGACACCGTTTATTGTCATTCCCCTGAGGGTATTTTAATAAACGCTTTTTGTCAAAGCGAAAAATATTCAATCTTTCACCGTGGAGTAAAATACCCTTCACAAGAATCGCGCAGTAATCTACCCCTCTTTATTGAATAATGAGCCGTTACGTAGATTACTCTACATCTATCCGTTTAATAATAAACTCTTGGGGTTAAAATAAAGGACGAACAATCCTTTAAAAATGTTTATAAACCATTGACGGGTTTGTGAACCAAAAAAATCAAGGGCGAGCGTTCATTATTCAGCGATTTTTTTACAGTGATATCCTATGTGTATATACTGTCTTGAAGTGCATTTAAAGTCATATCGATCTACTCTATCAGAAGCTACAGTATTATTAAGCTTATATTACCGAACAATTATGCAGTACAGTCGAGCATTCCAATAGGATCTTACTATTCATGAAGAAGAATAGAAAAATGATTGTTTTAAATTCGCCGTCGAATTGAACACGGTTACTATAAAGTCAATATATTTGTTTTAACTGATCAGTTGCTATCTATGAATAGCTTTTCCAAATAATAAACAAACATGAAAAACACATATGATCTAGCAATGGATAGGTAAAAAGTAGTTGGTGTCTTGACCTTTTTCTAATTTTCCTCTCAAAAAATTGAAAGAACAAGAAGGAAAATAATAATTATACATGAATGAACAAATGGATGGAAAAAAATGAAGCCTACTGTTTTCAATTATAATGATGAACTTTATGGATTCGTTTGCCGTTATCGATTAATTTATACGCTCGATACATTACCAACTCGATGGTTGATATGGATGATTGTTTGACCAAAATAATGTAATTCGATTTCCTCAGTAATATATTATACAAAAAATTAGCTGAAAAACCTAGTTTCTTCACTCAATGCCATTTTTGTACATGTTAACGAGTGAAAAGGCGAAATTAAAGAAGCTGCAACGATTCTGATTTGCTTGGCTAATCTACATTTTTTAAAAGGATATTAGACATAAAATCAAACGGGAGACTTGTACGTGGCACATTTAATTGTACTAGATACTGAACAGCGCTGGCAGGAAGGTATATCGATAAAAAAAATGACAAATTATAAGAATTCTTGTCAGGACTACAGGGTTACCAATGCGGATGAATCAAAATAATCCTATTAGAGGCATCGCATGTTTTTTTCTTGCATTCGGTAAGAACTAAAATATTCTTTCATAGATATAAGATGGGTGTATTTAAATATTTCCTTTGAGTTGATAAATTGCTATTATCACTAGCATCACGTCGAATCAACAGAATCAAATGAGTTTCTGCATCAATTTAGTACACTCACTACACGTCTTTCAAATGAATAAGATATTGGTATTGTTCCATTGTCGGGATTTCCCTTTGAATTTAATATTTTTCAATATCAATAGCGACTGGTAGTCGATGAAAAAATTTATTGTTTATTTTATTTTCTTCTTTGGCTTCCCATACATTCATATAAGCTTCTCATTATTTTAATCTAGATGTTAATGCAAGAGAGTGAGATTCTTTTTCATTTTAGTCACAAACACAATGACGAAAGCATCAACGCGACATACTGCTGATTTGATCCGAGTGACGCTTTTTGGGCAACAAGACTTTTTTCGACCAAAATGCTATTCAAATGTTAATAAGAAGACAAAAATTGTTGAAACAACATCTCATAAATCATTATCTCAGGTATGAAGTAGTATTCTTGCCCCAATAACTGACAGTTAAAACGTTGAAGAGATGACTGTGTGTTCGATCCATCTGAAATTCAAAGATAGGAGCAGTCAACGATGGCAACATTCATGTGAATGTTTCATAATTCTTTAAAGAACAATTTTTAAGAGTAACCTCGGTTTCTGAATTCGTTCTTTTAGTATGGCGATTCAACAGATTCCAGAGGACATTACTCAAAAAATGAGTCTTTTACAACTCCACTGTCCAAAATTGGCCAATCGAATCGAATTAAACCAATCGTTGTTTCGCATGTCTCTGCAGCAGAGAATGGCTCTTGCCCAGTGAGCTTTTCTATTTTGTATTCGATTGATTACTTTTCTTTATAGACATCAGAGTTGCCATGTGTTTCACAAGGGACAACACCCTCGTACAGTGCTATAATGAGTCACTATGTGGCTAACTCAGAGGGTGGAGTGAAGGTATTGAGTCAACAACGAATTCAGGTATTAAAGACAAATAAAATAACCATGGAATAGTTGCTATATTTTGTCCATGTTTTCGTATAGCCACCGGCATACACGAAACAAACAAAGAGTATGATCGTGGCTGATCAGAACTCTGAATATGGTCTAGAACACGATAAGCTACGCTGCTCGATGAGTTATGTGCACTCAGTAAGGCTTTTTTGGGTACTCATCAGAGTAGTTAGTTCCTATGTATTATTGAAGGTTGATAAAAACATGACGTTCAAAGATCAATCGAACACTCAAACTTTGATGACGGTGAGAACAATATTGAGAAATCTACTATGCATTTTAGTTTATTTTGATTTAAAAAACAGACTTCGAACACTAAGCAACCAAAGAACTCAGCGAAAGATCATTATGTAACATCTACCAAACAAAATAAGCGACGAAAGTAGACTTATAAAAACCAATCGGCTTCATAAACATTCGATTCTTTAGATTTTGCGGTTGTCTATGGTCTCCATTATGCTTATTATTCAGTCTATTCGGTATCTTGCTTCTAGGTACTACTCTAGCTATACTACTTCTCGCTTTCCTAAGCTTAAAATGTAAAATAAAATATGTCTCTTCATTTCGAATCGGTGTATTTTTTCTATAAAATAGCTACTTCAACAGCCACGACAAGCACTGCAGGTAGATACAAATATCTTGATTGTCCTTTTTCATCAGCCTATTATTCTTCAAATAGCAACGACATCAAACACTACAACGAGCATAAGTAGTAAGTTATACTTTTCATCTAAAAAACTCATCAGTAAAATGATTCTTAATAGAGATTAAAGCCCTAAATATCTTTGATAGAAATGTGATACGGGAGAAAAAACAGGCTTACGTGAAAACAGGCCAATTTCATGATATCAAGGTCTATATGCCTAATAACATTAAAATAAATAAACACTTTTCAACAATAATTAGTCTAGCGAACTAACTTTCGACGTTTTCTTCATTGTTAGAATCTTACGCCTATACTCCACAACTATAGTTGTTCGAAAAGAGAGCGACGCTGAAAATAATTATTTATAATTCATGACTTTTACTATTGTATGAAATAATGGAAAATCGTGGATCATTTTCACATTAATCATCAATTATTCATTACAAGAGATGCCACCTAAACTTTAGATCAATCTATGGCCCATTGAGCTTTAGTTAGGTTGCTAAATTTCCGTGTAGACACATCTACGGCAAGTACTACATCAACAATGACTACGACTCAACCATCTAAGTTGAAGCTATTGAACACTCTCTGATATTAACAACGAATAGACCACCTCTATTGATCATTTGACCATCATGTCTCGAACTGTAGTGCTAGTCAAAATTGATATCTTAGGTGAATCCAACTTATTTGAGCCTGATTTAAACTGATTTTATAGTGACTTTCTCCTAGAATGGTTTCTGAAAAGCAAGATACAAGGATGTACATTTATCAGATAGTCGGTGAAGATCAGATTAATCTCTTGGACATTGCTACAGCTAATTGACTGTTCATAGAAACTTGATGATCGAAGAAACAACATTTGATTTCTTACGTGTGTCCCCATTATTTTGTTACTTATTCTCTAGTGGAAGCTCTCTCAATCAATGCCACAGTTACCGCCTCTAATTTCGGTTCCTTTGCGGGCTCCGACGCTGCACAAGGCGACGCCCTTGTGGATCGTTCTACAACCGGGTATTATAACTCTGGTAATTTTGCTCCTCAATATGTTCAGCTGCAGCTTTCAGGCACGTATACTGTTTGCGAAGTATATTTGAACGTAGTACAAACGCCTAATGGTGTCACACAGAATCAGCTCTCAGTTGGTCTTACCGTAGCCTCTCTTCAATTAGTCACTACTATGAACGGCTATACAAGCAACGGCCAATGGCTCAATACTTCATATAATCCGTGTTTAACAGGAGTAACTTTTCTCCGTCTTACTACTACGTCGAGCCCATCATGGCCGGCCTGGGCTAAGTTCCTCGTTTACGGCTATTGACAATCCACTAACAAAACATCTTGTAGCTATAATAACTGCTTGGTTTGAACACCAGTGAAAAACTTGATAACTGTCATATTTATTTCTTTTCTCGTTCATTTTAGTTATCCTAAGAGATGTTAGGGTGCGCAGTATGGTTTTAAGTTTGAGTGTATAGATGTTTTCGAATTTAATAAAAAAGAAAGTAGAACAGACTAAATAATTTAAGAAATTTTTATTTTAGTTTATTAAAATAAATATTCATCGTAAAAATACAACAACTGAGTAAGGAACAATAACAAATTCTATAAAATTAATGCTTTTTCTTTCTTTCTTTCTTTCTTTCTTTCTTTTCTAACGGTAAATATAAAGGTTGAAAAGAAATACGTAAAAGAAAAAGAAAAAAATATAGGAGACGTTAGCGGAAGATGTCGTCCCATGAAAAATGAGTGTGATTAGGTTTGCTACAATGCTAACTAATTGATTACTTGCAACGCAAATACTTCATATATTCTCGCATCTGTACGTAGATTGGTGAAAAAAGAACCGTCATAATGCTTACATGTATTTTTCTTCATCGAATAAAATTGTTACGCTTGCGGACAGCTAAAAGAAAAGAAAGTTTTATTTTTATTCTTTCTAAAAATGGGTGTAGGTGTGGGTATGCGTGTACTGAGCGAGATGGCCAACATCTAATCCGACAACCACACCCCAACTTTTCGACATTTTTTATTCTAACCTTCTTGCTTCCTTTAGTAGACACCAGAGTGGGTCTTTTATTCACATAAGAAAAAGGTAATGGAAGAAGACGAGTGATGAATTCATTGATGTCGCAGGAATTTTCGACTGTAAAACGTATGTTGTCAAACTTCATCACGGATACTGTAATAAATGATGGTTATATGGAACATATTCTATGTTGTGGAAAAGAATGTCGAGACATAAATGAACGACATCGACCAATACCAATCTATGGCTATTTACATTCACCAATGACTACTTTTCATGATCATTATAATCCCTTTCTAATCACTGGTAGCTTTGCTGAAAGCTTAAGCGTACCACCAATATTCGGTACTAAATGTACAATGGATATATCTGATTGTGATCTCATGTATGTAATACCATTTTTAACATGTGATTTAAGGCCTACACGTCGTAAAACAACATTACTAGTAAATACTCAGCAGATGCACAGTGGATATTGTAATTTAATAGTAGATCTAAATACCACCAATATCAAAATGATCCCATTTGAATCAATGTCAGATTTAACTTTACAATCACATCAATACGAAACTGATCGAACCGTCTATTTTCTTCCATCGTCACCGTTGCCTCAATCATGGCTATCAATTATTGAAAACCAAAATGCGGAAAGGCATGGACCAGCACAGCAAATAAATACACAGTACATAACATCAGGACTGAAAGCAATATATTCAAAAGATTTTGTTGTTGCGTTACATTGTGTTTCATGGCCGATTCAAGAATGGATTGAACGTCCACGTTCAAATGACTGGCCAAGTGTGGCTACTATTCGAGAGATTGCTAAAAATGGTTGTCATTTAGTTCCAGTAGCTCATGCAACAAGCCTTAAGCCTGATATTGAGTGGCGCTTTTCCTTTTCATTTGCTGAACTAGTACTTGCAAATGAATTGTCTTATTACACTCGAAAAACCTACCTCATATTCAAATTACTGTGTAAAAAGTATTTGGAAAACTATTTTCCGTTGAAAACCTATCACTTGAAAACTGTACTGTTCTGGTGTTGTGAAGAGTATTCAACATTATTTATTGATGACAAACAGAAGCTCACAGTTAAAATTGATAATATTGCTGAAAAATTAGATAAACTAATTGAAAGATTATTGAATTCCATATGGGAACAAGAATTGCCTAGTTATTTCATTCGGACGAATAACTTGTTTGATTCGATTGATACCGAGTATTTTTCGACATCGCAGATAGCAATCATTGTGGAAAAAATAAAATATTTGAGACAAAATCCAATGGAAATTTTATTTGAAATTGTTTTAGAACATAACAAACTAGATTATTGCTTACCGTTGTCTTTTAATATCCGACACATATTCGAGCCGGTATTGAAACACTTCTCTACGGAAGTCGATGATAAAACATTAAAGCACGATTGTGAGATGGCCATCGAAAAACTTTCTATCAGTCTTTTTCTAGAAGGCAAAGCGTATGCTGGAAGAAAACTATTACAAACAATATGGTATAAGTATCTAGAATGCTTACCAATCAATGATGCTGAAATAGCGGATTTAATAACAGAGCATGGTTATTATTTGCTTGTTGATAATCAATATCAGGAATTACTATTGGATAGAATGATAGATGTGCAAGAAGAATTACTCAACTATTTCACACCCACCAGTGATGAAAAATGTTCAAGTCAAAATATCGTTTTATTGAGATCGTTAGGCTGCCTGCATTATATCAAATCATTTAGCAGTAATGAAGAAAATGGAGATATTGAATCAACGTACTTTCGTAAATCATTAGATGATTCTCTGATAACAACGATTGATTCACAAGTACAACAAATACGATCTTATTTAGCCTATGGAATTTATTTAGGTCAATCGCAACGTTATGAAGAAGTATTGGCCTTACTTGAAGTTGCCATTAGTATCAAATATCCTGCATTCAACAATGATTTTATTACAATCTACTCTCTCCATAAAGCAATGCATCCTAAAGACATTCAGCATTTGTTGTACATTTATAATGCTATCAATGTATCAACGAAAACATACATATTCTATCTTTTATGCCGATTTTATAAACTTACGGGCCGATATGATAAAGGATGTCATGCACTAATAGATCTGGTGCAACATATTCATGAAGTTAAAGATATTCATATTGGTACATATCTTACAGGACACTTATGTCTTCTGTATGACCAGATAGAAGTAGCTTATGAATGTTTTATTATTAATCTACGGATGGAATTCGGATTAAATTCGATATTTGAACCGAGTAAAACAATGGCTATATTCAAAGCTAGCCTTGTTATCACAACTTTTATTCAACTGAACGTGCAATCATGTGTTATTTCAACAACTGTTCAAGCAACACTTAAAAATCGTAAGCAATCAATTTTATAAAATGGCTAAAACTAAATTTAATAGCCTTGCCTAGCTAAATGGTGTTATTATCATGATCTTACTAATAGTATTTTGGTTTTTCTCAAGGATTTGGTATGATTCTTTTTGAATATGGTCTTTATTTAAAATATTTTTAGCATCAGCGTGTTCTTCATGTAGCTTATCATGCATCAGAACATATGTCAATAGATTTTCAAGAAAAATTTCATTCGAAAGTTGCTCCTGGCCTTCTCTCAATGGTTGATGCTGATGAAAATCCACGTACGTAAACTCATAGTGCTGCTGCACTAGTGAGTTTTGTTGAACATTTAGCTCAAATTATTGAAAAATTCGAACAATTTTTAAGTCGAAAATATCAAGAAGTAATTACTTATTTTCTTATCGATTTCTTTCACATTTCTTGTCTTTTGTCTGAATAGCCTGTTTAACATAATCATAAGCTAGATTTTGAGCGAGTTGTAATAATAATTTCAGCTATTGCTGATACAACTGGTCAAGAGTTTTCACCTTATTATGATACGTCAGTTGAAATATTTTTCTTAGTCATTAAATAAATTCGATGAATTCTTTATAAAGATTTATGCCGAAATTAAAATATTTATTTAAAATTGCAATTACATCGGATTACCGAATGTTAAGTGGTAAAATAATGGAATGTATTAGTCTAATCGGTTTAGCTGTGGGCAAAGAAAAAGTTTGTATTTGTTTTCTGTTCCCTTCAATAAAAGTTCGGTGTTTTAGTTTATCTACGATTGTGATGAAGTAATGCAAGAAGTATTTAAAGCACAAGTTGATTTTGAAAATGATGATCCACGAATTTCATATTTCATTGGCGCCTGGACACGTATATGTAAAATATTGGGCAAACAGTTTGAACAATATTTACCAGTTGTTATGAAACCTGTTCTTAAAATAGCAGCATTTAAACCTGAAGTAATTTTACTTGATGGTAGTAATATTGGTATTGAAGAAGATTCTAATTGGAAAGTACTTCATGTTGGTGATCGAGTATGAACTTTCCTTTTTTTTAATTTGATAGTTAGTTTTCTCTATTGAAGACTTACGGAATAAAAACAACAGGTCTGGAAGAAAAAGCAGCTGCTTGTTCATTACTGGTTTGGTTTGCTAAAGAATTAAAAGAGAATTTTGTTAATTATGTTGAAGAAACAACAAAGTTAATGGTTTCACTTCTTCAATTTTATTTACATGAAGGCAAATTTTATTCATAATTATATCGTAACACAAGAAGTTCTATGTTTTTAAAATCTTTTTAGGTGTTCGTGAAACAGCTGGTGAATCTTTATCACATTTACTTGTTTGTGCAAAATTACGCGGCGATGATTATGTTCGACAAATGTGGAAATATATGAAGAAAGAATTATTTGAAGTACCCGGAGAATTATTTACATCATTGGGCAAAGTAAACAATTAAATAAAAAAAGATATTTTAATATTAATATTTGAATTTAGTGTATCGAAACATTAGGTGTATCAAGTTTAACAGCGAATGAACTAAAAAAGTTAACAACTATTCTTGATAGCCATTTAAAAACGCACTTTGAACGGACTGAGATACGATACAATGACGATCATATTGAACAAGATGATTTTGATGCATAAATATTAAATCCTATATCGGATATAATCCATTCACTTTTAGTAACATATGCAGATTCATATTTGATTTATTTTGATACATTAGTACCACATTTCCATGCCCTTATACAACCAACACGTTCAATATCTGATCGTCAATGCGGATTCAGTAGCTGAAGTAAAACTCTTTCAAAATATACGTATATTTATTTTATGATTTCCTCAAAGGTTCATCAAGCTGCTGCATATGGGTTTGGTGTAATGGGAATGAATGGTGGTCCTGTCTATGCTCGTGCGTGTGCTGAATCATTGCCAGCATTATTTACATTAGTTAGTGCGTCGGATAGTCGTTCAGTTGAAAATAATACAGCAACAGAGAATGCAATAAGTGCAGTTACAAAAATTTTGAAATTTAATAATTCATGTGTGGATAATATCGATAAAGTAAAAGAATTTTTATTTATATATATATATATATATAAGAAAATATTTGATTCAGCTTCATCATATTTGGTTATCTTGGCTTCCAATCTATGAAGATACAGAAGAAACACCACATGTTTATGGATATCTATGTGATTTAATTGAACAAAATAATCCAGTCATTGTTGGTCAAGATCAATCAAACATTCCAACTATAATTAAACTATTTTGTGGTGCTTTTTCTAAATCATCTATTGAAATTAATTCACTTGTGGGTCAACGAATGATTCTTATATTAAAACATGTTCAAGTATAGTATTTCTATTTTTTTAAATTCTATTTTATATTAATTTTTATTTAGACAATTCCATCCATATTTCAAACATGTATCAATGTTTTAACAAATGAAGAACGTCAAGCATTAACTAATGCATTAAATTCATCTGTATCAACACTAACAATATCATAAGATTGATTGACAAATCACCTTCTTGTTCAACGTGTGCATTCTTTCAAAAAAATAAAATTAGTTGTAATTTTGCTAGAGATGCGTGCTGTGCTGACAGGTATATCATCTTATGCGATATCATTCGTTTCTCAGTATGTTGTTGTTGGGTCAATTATCGTGGAAATCGACGCTAATCTCATTACTTATGTATTCAGCGGCACCTCACGCCCTGATAATAAAATACAAAATGTTTAATGAGAAAGTAGTCAAACTGAAATGCCTATTTATTAATATTATAGAAAAAAATTTCAAGGTAGTCTTTGTATATTAATTACCACAGCTCGCATTCTTTTAGGTTTATTTCGGCTTCGATCTTGACATTGTGTCCGTATAAGTGGGCAACTTCCATAATTTTAAAGGCCGTATACGGCATAATCAGAACCTCTTTCTCGTCTGGAAACATTGATATCTCTGCAAGATGAAGTGCACTTCTACGATTGCGCACATCGTATATACACAAAACACTGATTTTATCGTTAGAAGCTGAAGTATCAGCAAAGTTGGTTGCAACATCACGGTCTTTAGACGATGATAGAAATGATTTTGTTAGAATACGTGTCCCTTCCTTGTATTTCTCAAGATCACTCTTGTTTATACTCATGCCACGATAACATTTGCCAGAAAAATTGAATCGATCCAAGCAAGGATGATGAGCGATGATTCCAACAATCCAAGAGCAGTATTTATTAATTTGTAATGTGACTGATCCACTCTCGTCCAGCTGCGCTTGTGCCAAATTGACATTCAATACTCGATAGAATTCTGTCTCAGCAGTGTATGCTTGAAGAAGAAACTTAGGATCCTTTTTATTTGCAGCTTTGTCAAATAAATCTCCAATGCTCAATATATCTGTCTTCTTTGTTAATTCTTTTTCGATGTAATTGCGTCGAGCGTCCGTTATAAGTTTATCAATATCGGTACGTTTCGCGTGTGGTGCCAGGATGTCTCGTACACGATGTGCCAAATAGTCGCCATTAGCTCCAGCTACTACCCATTCAATACCCGGGGAGTCGCCTTCAAAACGTTTTTCACGTCGATTTCTACCTAAAATATAATTTAAAAATTGCGGTAACCTCGAATTTAAATCCGAGTGTTATGTGTACTGCAAAAAGGAAAACATTGTGGACGACGGACTGGTTATGACCAAACCATCTACAAAATCATCTTGGCGACTAGTAAGGAATAGGGGTCAACCGGCTCACGTTGACGAACTCCATTCAAATGAACTAGCGAACTGTTCGAACAGCTCTGTTAAACGAGCAGAGCTTTTTCAAATATTTCTTTTCAAATGAACCTAACTTGAAGTTATTCTAGATGTTATAATATGAGTGGATACATAGGCCCGCAAGGTCTACTATATAGGAACATTGGTGGGCCACCAGAGGGCAATTGGTGGCAATTGCCATACCACAAAAAATATGAAAATTAAAAACTTGCCTAAGAAATAGTATTGGATAAGAAAGTTTGTCAGGCATTGCCTTTTTCAATACTAAGAAAGATTCGACATTTATATATTCCACTGGTCAAAAATAGTTTTACAAAGTACTTTTAATATATGATCACTATAAATGAACATTTTGAGACAAGTAATTA